CATATTTCGGCGAAAAACTATTAAATGAATGTTAAATCAGTTCTTTAGTTGTGCTTCAGTTTTGAAGGTTCTTTGCGATATCTTTGTTAAAATCTATTATACCATAATATATTATGATCATATTTATATATATATGTATTCTGGGTAAAATTATCTTTATCCCGGTTGTTGCGACAAGTAAAAATGCTCTTATTAGGGAAAGGAGATTACTCGACGTTTCAATGTAACTACATCGTATTCATGATCTAAAAACAAGTGTTAAAAATTCAAAACGTAAAAAACATATATCTGAGGCAAAATTTGTGTACATAAATTTATTTTTAATCAATCAACTTTATCCAAAAATTCGATACAAAAAAGTCATAACAAAATTCATAACAAAATTAGTTTATACGACGACAAACTTTTATAGTAAATACTGTGCATTCCTAAAACTACTACTAAATATACTACACATGATACAGAAGCATGGAGTGCTACAACGGTGAACAGGTGCATGATGTGAAGTGTGTAGGTATGTATCTAGTGTAGAGTGAAAATGGCGGGAATCGTACTGACCAATGAGAAGTGTGAAACGTGGGAGCCTAATATGGTTTGATTGATGTTATAAGGGTTAGTGTGTTGAATAGGAGGCGGAAGTGTGTGTGTGTGAGATGTGGTCCCTGTACTCAGAAAGTAAACAAAACCTATAAATATCACTAAATATCACTACATATTCACTCTACACTAGATACATACCTACACACTTCACATCATGCACCTGTTCACCGTTGTAGCACTCCATGCTTCTGTATCATGTGTAGTATATTTAGTAGTAGTTTTAGGAATGTACAGTATTTACTATACAAGTTTGTCGTCGTATAAACTAATTTTGTTATGAATTTTGTTATGACTTTTTTGTATCGAATTTTTGGATAAAGTTGATTGATTAAAAATAAATTTATGTACACAAATTTTGCCTCAGATATATGTTTTTTACGTTTTGAATTTTTAACACTTGTTTTTAGATCATGAATACGATGTAGTTACATTGAAACGTCGAGTAATCTCCTTTCCCTAATAAGAGCATTTTTACTTGTCGCAACAACCGGGATAAAGATAATTTTACCCAGAATACATTACAACAATGCGACTCATAAATAATACTCCAATCCGGATTTTACATATATATATATGATTAATAATGAGTATGTATTATGAATATCGGGTGATTTCCAATGTTGAAAAATGTTGAAAAATGTTGAAAAATGGTGATATTTTACGATTTGAAAACTCGATTCACCATAAAAATCACTCAACATTTTGCCACATTTTTCATCATTTGAATGTTTTGCTTTTGAAATATCAAATTGAAATATTAAATGTGTATTCTGATACTATACGACGATACCGAGAGCTTAGTTTCGATGTACCTTACTCGCCATGGTCACCAAAATTAAAAGCTACCACTTTTGATGTACTTTGCTCTCCATGATCACCAAAAGTTACCATTTTCAAAGTTCATAATCGCCATGTTCACCAAAAGTTACTAGTATTGATGTACTTTACTCGCCATTATATATGATTGATTTAAATGAGTATTACAATAAACAATCTGCTGGCTTTTATTGTATTAGGAATCTTATAGAGCAACTTATATTTACATAGTATTGTCCTGTTTGTATCATGGTATATAACTCTGTTTTATTGAAGATTTAGATATTTGTATAATTTGTTTAGTAGCAATACTCAATAATGATGGACGTTTCCATTGTACTGTAAATTCAATTGTACAAGTAGTTTCCATTTCTACAATTTTCCTAGTAACTATATTATAATGCAACCATTAAAACCTGACCATATAAAACATTTTATTACACCCCAGTTCCATAGCCGGATATTATGCCAAATTATTAGACGGAGATCGTCTACTGATATTTCTCCGAATGTTTATCCGGTTTGCAGTTCCATAACCTTATCCGGAGACCATCTACTAGGGGGTGCACGATAAAAAATAAACTTGCTCGGATTTTACAATTTTTTGTTCCATTGTTTTCTAGAGACTGTGAGAATTTTCTCAGTACCAAATTTGTTTCCTTTTCGGAAAGACAGCTAATTCTCCCACGCGCGTTGGTCTCCGAGAATTAATCTCACAGACATTCCCGGAGAGCTTCATCTCCGTCTAATACAGTAGACGGAGCCGGAGAATCATCTCCGGAGATGATCTACGGGAAATGGACCTCAGTCTAATAATTTGGCATAATATCCGGCTATGAAACTGGGGGGTAATACTAAAATTATGATTGATACACGGCACTCCTGAATTTTTACTGATTTCCAGTTAAACCTGAATATATTTATTAATTAATCCAGAATACTCTTCAGATGTCATGTTCTCACATAAAGACCGAAGTGAAGACCGAAGAAGAGGATTTGAGAAGCAAAACTGGAGGTTTTCTGTGTCCAGCATGTGGTGAACAACTTTTCTACGAAAAGTATTTCCTTGAACATATCAGAGAACGTCATTATAAGGCTGACCTACCAGTACACGATGAGGAGCACAGTTTGTTAAATGAGTTTGCTGGAGGTTCTGTTCATGAAAATAGTCATGTTACAGAACAATATGGTTGTTGTGTTGAAAATAAATGCGATGTTCTTAAATCAGAAGTAAAAACTGAGCAGAGTGAATTCAATGGAGATGCTGGAGGTTTTCTCTGCTCAGTTTGTGGGGAAACATTTCTGGAGGAGGACAGTTTTATTAAGCATATAAATGATCACTTAACTAATTCTAGCAAACGAAAAAGGCCACGATGTGCTGAATTTCAAAATATAATAGTTAATATTAATATGTTTACAGTATGCACTGAAGGGCTATCCTAGGAAGTTTCTTGAACTTTTAACAGGTACCCCTCCTCATTTAACCCTCAATTAAGTTTCCTATCATTCGGCTGAGTCGACCGAGGAGATTACATAGATCCAATGGATCCTTAGCTACTCCCTAGACTAGGTGACACCCTGGGATTCGAACCCTGAACCTTCTGCGCAGAAGGCGGATGCTCTAACCACTAGGCCACCTAGCCCCTAAATGACAGTGATAATACAGAATCTGGGATGAGTAATAGATCAGACAATTCTACAGTTTCTCAGAAGATTTCCAATTCTCCTGAAAATATTCTTGCTAGTGAAAAGCAGTTAAAATGTCCTGATTGTTCATATTCAACTTCACGAAAAAGAACTCTTCAATATCACTTAACAACTCACTCCGGAGAGATATGTCCAGATTATTCGTATGCAACAGCTCAAAAATCAGACCTTAAAAGACATATAATGAGTGCTCACTCCGGAGAGAAACCATTCAAATGCCCAGATTGTTCGTATGCAACAGGTATGAAATCAAACCTCAAAAGACATCTGCTGACTCACTCCGGAGAGAAACCATTTAAATGTCCAGATTGTTCGTATGCAACAGCTCAAAAATCAGCCCTTAAAAGACATATGAGTGCTCACTCCGGAGAGAAACCGTTCAAATGTTCAGATTGTTCGTTTGCAACAGCTCATAAATCAAACCTCAATGTACATTATATGACTCACTCCGGAGAGAAACCATTTACATGTTCAATTTGTTCCTATACAGCAGCTCAGAAATCAGACCTTAAAAGACATATGAGTGCTCACTCCGGAGAGAAACCATTTAAATGTTCAGATTGTCCGTATGCATCAGCTCGTAAATCAGACCTTATAAGACATCTGAATATTCACTCTAGAAACTAGAAAAAACTCATTTCGGCCAAAAACTGTACAAGTTTTCGGAAAGATCATAATCGCATCTTTTAGAACACCAGCGAAGTTCATTCTTCTCACCTCATCGAAGTAGACTTGTCAAACATCAGTCAACACATATTTCGGCGAAAAACTATTTGAATGTTAAATCAGTTCTTTACTGTAACAATAGAATTATATAGTATGGGAACTTATTATCGTGATTATGCTAGTAGAAATACTTATACAGGGTGGGCCAAAAGTCAGTACCCATACGTTGGGTGCTAATCCTCCGCTGTGTTTTATATTTGAGAGTTGTTGTTTGCAGCTTTGCAGAATGCAGATGGCATACTGTACCTACTTGTTCGAGGATTCCGTCGCCAAAATTTGAAAATTCGAATATTCTAAACCACGCGCATTCAATATTAAAACACCTATATTGTTCTCTCTGTACATGCTGGACGCCTAATTTCTGAAAAAATGATGTGAAACAGATTTGAAGTGACGAAGTTATCAAGCATTTTTTGTATCTCGTTTACAACTTTACAAAATTGACTGGGTGATTATATGACACCGTGACACGACACCTTAATTGGGCAGCCTTAACGATTCCCATTATGTTTAACGGGGTGGTAAACGGGGTCACCTTATCACGTGATTAGGTAATCCAATCACCTGATCACAGGTAATGAATAAACTCGTTATGCTTTGTATCTCGGTGATCTGAGAAGCTACAACTCTCATTTTTTCAGGACAAACGTAATTTGAATGGCCAAACACAGTTCAATAAAATTTGGCTCGATCCGACTATCCAAACTATCAAATCAATGTATAAATGCGAAAATGAACCTTAATTTTTTTAAATGAACACGAATATTTTTCAATTTGACAAATTCCTCGAACCAGTGGTGGTAGTAAGTCATACCAGAAAAAAATATTTCAATTGGGCACTCAGTGACTGAGCTATTAAGGCCAATGTATGGGTACTGACTTTTGGCCCACCCTGTATAATTAAAGTTGTACTTCGGTTTTGAAGGTTCTTTGCGATATCTTTGTTTAAATCTATTATATCATTTGTCTTCTCGAACTGCATATTTTAAGATTCCATCTTTGCTGAATGTGCTCTTTAATGAATGTTCTCTTTTGAGATAATGGACATGTTTAAAAAAATACAGAATTTTACCTAATTGCTAATGTCTCTGATTGTTGAAATTGTTTTAGACCTATAGCTATCTAGATAATACAATATAAAATATCTATATAATACAATATAAAATTAGGATGACTGATGCTGAGGGACTTGATTATAAGGATGTCGCTGCTATCGTCAGAGGAGCTTTGGTAATTTATTTATTAAACTGTTTTTGCCCTTTTTATACGATTTCATGAGCCACACATTTCATCATGATTTACAACCGAACAAAAATCAAAACTTTGTACGGCAAACAAAACCTGTTTGTACCGCAATAAATATTAGCAAATTTCAATTTTATTCATGCAACATTGTAAAATACTAAATAAATAAAATTCAGTGCTTCGGAAGACTGAGGTTTCATCCTAAAGCTCTCATGTTCAAGGCCCAAAGTAGTGGCAAGATTGATCAGTTTGGATCAGCTGATATTTGTGAGACACACTGGATGAGGTATGTGCAATTGACGAGAATAATATGTTGTAGTGGGGGAGGGGGGGGGCACTGTTAAATATCATTCTACCTCTACTGTTGTATTGGGGGGGGGGGGGACTGTTAAATATCACCACTGTTGTATTGGGGGGGGGGGGGGCACTGTTAAATATCACCACTGTTGTATTGGGGGGGGGGGGGGTACTGTTAAATATCACTCTACTGTTGTATTGGGGGGGTGGGCACTGTTAAATAGCATTGTACTGTAATATAAGAGGGGGGGGGCACTGTTAAAAATCACTCTACCTCTACTGTTGTATGGGGGGGGGGGGGGGGCACTGTTAAATATCACTGTACTGTAATATGGGGGGGGGGGGGGGCACTGTTCAATATCACTCTAATGTTGACTTGTTTAACTTATCAGCTATAAAACTTTTTACTCAGTTCTGCCATGTGCTAGCACTGAATAATATTTCATTATTGCAACTTATCCTTTATTTACATTTGATATTTTTCAGAGCATCTCGGGGTTACCAACTGGTTGTTATTACTAACAGTAATGCTGTTTTTAAGTTTGTTGGCCTCGAAGAAAAGGTAAGTTTAACTTATTTTCCATATATTGAGAAGAGTTTGAAACATTAAAATCCTTTCAGAGTTTCAGATAGCTGATAGAGCTTGATAGGGGAGAAGACAATAAAACTACTAAATTTGTTGTTTTAAACTAACACGATCGTCATTATTTAATTATTTAACAGAACAAGGAACAGATAAAGAGGTTTATCAGAGAGCATTATGACGCTACATTCACAGAGAAGGAACCGTTTGTCAAGGGATGGAACTGGGGATCTGTTGATTTTGCTGGTATGCCAATTGTAAAACTTTTCAAAATATATTTTTTATTTATTTATTTATTTATTTGGTATATTTAATTATAATATTTTCTACACAATTGACATTTTGTATGTCATCCAGGACCTCTGATGGTGTTTCACAATGACGAGAAACCCTTGTTTGAGGTGCCCTTACCTGATGTATCAACTGCTACTGTTAATAAAAATGAGGTGAATTACCTTCTCTCATTATCCTGCTTGGGTGTTGAATAAAGCAAAATATGTTGCAATAACAATGAATGAAGATCAGTAAAAATCACCCCACTCTTTTATCATTCAAGTATATTACATGTTTTACTTCGTATTCCAGGGTGATCTGCTGAAGACTCAACTAGTTTCGGCCTTTGAGGGCCATCCACAGGAGTGTCACCTAGCAGAAGTCAAAAATTTAATAAACTGATATCAGAAGAATATGTCATATTAGTAAACATACGGTTAAATAATCTGAAAATCCATTGTAAAGTTACAAACTCATGGGGCAGAAAAAGAAACAAAGAGTAAACTCGGTGTACAAAAGTGAGAGCTAGGAAGCGGAAAATATAGCCGTACACCCAGTGATAGAACGTGAGGTGTGACCTGAACCAAAGATAACATTAATTGCCACTGACCTTGCTCCTATTTAAACCAATTATCCTGGCTTTAAATCTCTCGATAAACATATCCTCAAACATGTTCAGGTCATCTCTATTGCATTTACGGATAATCCCAAAGTTAAAACTAGAAAGTTTATCATCTAACATTTCATAATGCACATCGTGAATGTGCAGAGCTAATGATGACTTATTATAATGTTCTGGTTTGAAAGCTGCTCTGTGGTTATTCATGCGTATATTGAGGGGTAGCCATGTCTGGCCAAAATAGAAGCCGCTTGAACATAACTTACATTGAGCTACGTATATAACATTCCCATCACTACAATTTAAACTCATATCTAGTTCACATATCTGATTGTTAACAATAAATTTCCCATCAGCGTTGTTTTCCGTGAGTTTGCAAGTCAGGCATCTTGGTCTTTTACATGCTTGTGATGAGGTGTTGTTGTCTCTTCTAGACTGTTTGATGACACTTAACTATCTTGTGATCCTTTACTGTTTTATTCCGGGGCAATTGTGGCTACAAAACTCGATATTGGCTTGTTTTTTCCACCTCAACGTCAGCGAAAGCTCTAACACATGTTTTACTTAATGTTCACTCTTAGGTGACAGTTGAGTTCCACCAAGACGATGATAACGATATGAGTCTAGTTGAAATGAGATTCTACGTTCCTAACATAACAAACGACTCAGACGATATCCCTGCTGATAACTTCCACAGGAATGTTATGAAGTATGCTGACGTCATCAAGGCCACTGGTGACGTAATTGTTAAGTTCGAACAAGTGCTCCTCCAAACCCCCAGGTCATTCAAATTTAAAAAAATATATTCGATTATCAGCTTTTTCTAGGTACTGCAGGAACATTTTAAAAGTGCTGAATTTCTATGTTGTTTTGGTAGAAATCGAGCAAAAATTAATGTTTATAACTATCTTATGTAAGATATGATTAATAATTGTGGTCAATAGTTGTTTTTAAGATGTTCAACTAACTTCAAATAATTAGAGGACGTTACGATGTGGACATGTACCCTAGTTTCCTCCGACTTCACGGTAAATCTTACGATTACAAGATTCCCTACAGTACTATGATAAGAATGTTCCTTCTCCCGCACAACGACCAGAGATCTGTTTACTTCGTGGTTAGTAAAAGAAATTACCTTTTTGCTGTGAACTGAATAACTTCCTATTACTTATTGAGCCTAACAGTGAAACCGGTTCACTTGTACTCAGCCAATTCAATCAACTAATTTGATATTTTAATTACTAAAGTAGATTTAACTCCTCAGATCTCAACAGATCCTCCAATTAGACAAGGTCAGACCCGTTACCCTCATCTGGTTATTCAGTTTATAAAGGATGACTGGAGCGATCTCACATTGGAACTAGATGAGTTAGTAGTACTTTTAGTTATTTAGAGTTAATTTAGTCTCACTTAGTTAAAAACAAGTTACTTTTAGTTATTTAAACTAACCAACGAAATCATTATTCGAACTGTGAAAAATTCGCACTTTAAACACTTTACAGCCCCTCCGCCTCCCCCTATGTTTAATATATTCTTACTCAGGGAAACGATAGCAACTAAATACGAAGGGAAGCTCCAAAAGGAGATGGCAGGACCCACATATGAAACCTTTAGTAAAGTTATGAAGTTCGTAGTAGGACAGAAAATATTTGTACCCGGGAACTTCGTCAGGTAATTACAAAGAAGAGGATTGTACTCTGTATATTTTTTAGATGTCTGTAATTCTTACTATTTCACAAATAGGGAAAATTGAGTGATTCCCTCTTTAATCTACAAAATCTATTATTTGATAAAATAATTAATAGTGTTTGTTTATCAGTTCAGCAGGTAGTCAAGCTATAGCGTGCTCTCACAAGGCTAACTCTGGGTTCCTGTACCCACTGGAGAAAGGGTTTATGTTCGTTGTTAAACCTCCTGTTCATATCCGGTTTGATGAGACCTCCTCCGTTAACTTCTCCCGTGTTGCTTCAGGTTTGTTTTATTTTTCAGAACATTTCCTTGTACTTTTACCAAGTTTAGTTTTTTTGTACGGTTTCAATTTGGAAGTTTAATTTTATTTTATTTTTCTTCACAATATAACAAGATTTAAACTATTTTTAGGCGTTGGACAAAGCAGAAGTTTTGACCTTGAAATTGAAACTAACACTGGTGCAAACTACATATTCGCTAGTATCGAGAAGTAAGTTACCATTTCAAACTTTTAAAACACTCGATGTTTAATATAAAAACCGGCAGACAGAGATTGCTGATGAATTATAACTTTACATTTAAGCTGGATCAACTTTTATTGGGTGAAAAATGCGTTTGATATCTTTATTAACGTTCTATTCTTTAGAAAAAATATATTAATCAAACCTCCCATTCCCAGGAAAGAATATTCCAAACTATTTGATTTCCTGAAGGGTAAGAAGATAAGAATACAAAACACCAAGGCTGGAGGCGATGAGACATTTGCTGATGACTTTGGAGACGGCAGCGCTTCAGACAACGAGTTACCCGACCACTACTTGGAGAAGATGAAGAAAGAAGGTAAATTATAATCAACTAATATCCCAGTTACTTTCTAACTTACTCGTTTAATCAATATAAATAACAGAAAAGAATCTGAAGTGGTTGAGGAGGCTCGCAACACACAACAATGATTAATATTACCACAGGTCAAGCGAGGGACAGTGATGATGACAGTGATGAATCAGAAGATGAGGACTTTGTGGCTGGAGAGACACCAGATACTTCACCCAGTTCATCAAGCGAAACTGAAGAGGGAGAAGGAGATGAGAAGAAGAAAAAGAAGAAGAAAGTCGCCAAGGAGACTGTTATTGGCAAACAAAAGGTTTACAATACCTTCCAAATCTGCACCAAGAACAGCATGTCATGTTGTGACTTCATATAATCGATCCATCTTCTTCGAAGTGAGAGGTTGTGTTTTTAAACTTTGTTTTTGAGAAGCTAGATTAAATAATATGTTTATTTATTTTAGGGTTCGCCAAAAGCGAAGAGGGAAAGAAAAGAACCGACCGGAAAGAAAACTAAAGCTCAGAGAAAGGCCGAAAGGGACCCCAACAAACCCAAAAAGCCACCAACAGCATACTTTTTGTGGCTAGGAGTAAACAGAGGTAGTATAAAGGACAAAAACCCCGGCATAACTGTTACAGAGATAGCTAAAAAAGCAGGAGAAATGTGGAGAGGTTTAACCGCAGACGACAAACTGGTAAATTTAACTTCATCTTCCTTGTAAGGGTAACTGCCCACACCTTAGTTTCCTTGAGATATTGATTTAACATAACATAAGTTACAAAGTTTTCTGGTAACAATTTATTTTAGGAGTACGAGGGCAAAGCTAATCAAATGAAAGAAGAATATAACGTGTCAATAATCGAATACAACAAGAACCTCGCTCTAAATCCTCGACCTGTCTCCTCGTCTCCTATAGTAACAAAGAAGAAGAGCAGTAAACCTTCTTCAAAACCATCTTCAACGGCGTTCGTAAACATTTCAATTTTTCGAACTTAACTAGGCCGAATATATCAATGCGCTTTGGCAATTTCTCCTTTGTTAGCGAAGTGAGGAATATCTGGAAAACGCGATGACCTCATTAGTTTGTTTTGTGCGCGTTCCCGCGCCTTCATTCCCGGCCGGCCACACGCGACGCGCGTACGTCGCGCGCATACGCACGCTGCTTGGGCTGAGGTTGTTGCCATTTTATATACTGTTGTATAAAATCATCGAGTTACATTCAGACTCTTCCCGACCCATCACACAACTACTTTCTCGTTCAACAGGCTGTTTTAACCGATAAGCAATAAGCATGTACACTGCACTATTTCACAGGTACAAGAGCAAAGAAATGATCAATACAGATGACGATTTATCAACGGATTCTGAAGAGGAAAAACCTTTGAAACCCAAGTAAATATAACTTTTAAAAACCTTGACAGGTTAATTATTGTAAAGATCGATTTGTCCTTTGCGATATGTATCGAGTACTTTTCAATTAAAGATCTAGATTGAATACCATATTTACTATACTTAACCAGTAACCTACTCTGAACTTATGTAATCTCTTCTAGGCCTTCGCCCCCGAAGAAAGAGGAGCCAGCCTCATCTTCCAAACAGGACGACTCAGACTCAGACAAAAGCGACGTGTCCCCCAAGAAAGCAGCTCCAGAAGAGAGTAAGAAGAGGAAGCGAGAAGAGCCAGCCACCTCCTCAAAACAGGATGAATCAGAATCAGAAGACAGTGACGTGGCTCCTCCTGAAGAGAGCAGCTCAGAGGAAGAAAAGGCGCCTCCCCCTAAAAGGAGCATGAGGTCCCGGGGCGCTCCTACTTCAGCACCAGCTAATTTACCTGATGACACTTTCGGGGACGAGGAGTACACGGACGGAGAGGCACCTCCGAGTCCGAAAAGCTCGGAGTCTGACTAGTTATGATTTGTAATTACTGATTGGTTGTGGTCAAAGACTGGTTATTCATCTCACAGATTTAGTGGTTAGAATCTAGGGTTAGTAGTCGTAATCTAAAGAGAGGAGCGATTGGGACTCTAGAAACTTTCTCACTTCCCTAACATCAATTTTCTCCTCGTGTTCCACCCTACGACAGGAAATCGTCTGACCCGTGACAAGAGGACTGTAGACTTTTAAATAAGTCCGTTTCAAATGCACTTTTAACTGTATTCTTATTTCAACATTTTTAATTTGAATTGTTTCTGGAAAGGACATCAGAATTATTATTGCAAATTCTAAAATTAAAATCCCTTTATTCTGACTTATTCATGGTAATTTGTACATATGTTTTGGGTACTTCAGTCTTCTACGGCCATTGAGAACTACAAATAAAACACATGGAATAACAGATAAATATGATAATGATTACATCGATATGAATATGGAATTAAATATTACTGACTCTTTTCAAGAACCCACTGGTTTATTCTGTCTCCAGCGGCCAAGTCGCGGATACAAGAGATCCAGCGTTCTTCTGCTTCGTCTACTCCCATGATGTAGTGAGGCCAGTATTTGTTATACAGGATCACTCTGTCTCCGTACTCTAGAGTAACCTTGTTCACGTCTGTAGCGTGGGCTAACCTCCACTGGCACTTGCTGTCTGACCAGTAATGCCCACTGTACCAGAACACGTACCACTTGTTCTTTCCCATACACAGTACTCTGGAGTCCTTTAAATTCCGTACCAGAACGTGCCCGCCCTTAAAAGTAACCACATTCTCAGTACGGTCCTCAAATTTGAGAGGAACAGGAGCCCTGCTGTCAAGTCTGGGATAACCGCCCACATCAGTTGAAATGTACTTCCTCCCTCCCCTGCCGCTCCTCAACACGAAACTGTTCCCCATTTCCCGCTCAACAGCTGCTATCTCTTCCGATTTTTGTAACATCAGCTCTCCTCTCCCGGAGTAAGCTTTGATCAGGGCTGATAGTTCATCCAGTTCCGAATGACTTGTCTGGAAGTTCCTCTGGAGCTCAGTCCTAAGAGACCTCACTTCGTTCCTCAGCTCAGACAATTTCTCCCAAGCTTGAGAAGTGAAGAAGGCGAGATCTGAGTCCCTTTGTGCAAGCATATCAGTTAGTTTCGAGTTCACATCCAGGAGGTTGACGGATATCCCTACTAATTGGTCCGTCCTAGCTTGGAGAGGAAAGAGGAAACGTTTAAAGGAATCTGGGGTTCCAGGAATGGTCCAGACCGCAGCGTACTCTATCTCTCTAACAGTGGAGAACTCTAAAACACTCTTAGCGAAGTCGATAGCGTACTGGATGCATGCCTGAACTTCAGGTTTGGGTGGTTCTGTGTTGCTCCCGCTGGCATATAGAGAGACTTCCAGAGAACTAGACTCGCTTATCTCGTGCATCTTAGCAGCGAACTCGGCCTCAGCTGCGAAGGTACCTGTTGTGGCCTTCAACTTGGTGTCTAGTTCCTGTTTATCTTCCAAAGACTTACTAGAGAACTTCATGACAAGCAACATCTTACCACCTAAAATTATTTTCCGGAGGTAATGCGTACCATACGACCTTACAAACTTGGCAAAATCTTCGTTATCCAGCAGGGTCTGTCCCTGTTCGGTGTATCTAGCCTGAGTTGCTATTTCAGTGTCCGTAATAGCTTCAACGCTGGCTACCAGCACCGAGTCTAGGGAGGTGATCTTAGTTTCACTGAGGAACCTGACAGAAGCTGAACCCTCGACCCCCATGTAGCTGCCAGAAGCGGATACTCCTCCTGAGAAAGATGACAGAAACTCCTCCCTGGACTTACAAAGCTTGATCCTGTAGGTGCACTCAATGTAGCCTCCTCTCTGGAGACCCTTAGTTACATGCACCGCGGAGTTGTAGGTTCTCTGCAAGTTCACGGTGTTGTACCCAGTTCCAAACTCCACGTTAGCCTGGCTGGTAGGGAAGTTGTCCTTTATCACTGAGACCCCCTGGATATTGTCAGTGTGGAATGCGCTGCAAGTAGTTACAGAGAGGAATATCAGCAGCAGAATCATCTCGTCAAAGAAATGGGATACAAAGTATTCTTTATGATTATCAGCTGAAGAAACACGCCCACCCCCGCGCTTATAAAGTTAAACACTGCACTATTAACTCAGCTGCCGTTGTTTACCTTTAACTACCGATTACTACAATGACATTCACTCAGCCAGGAAGAGAATTAACGTCTAGAATCTACAGAATCGATTATTTCACAACAATGAAGGTTATAATTGTTGTCATATGATTACAAGGGGGCGCAGGACGGAGACAATAGAACACAGGTGCTGAGTTACTATGTGCAGGTGCCATTTTAACACAGTTGGACAATGAAAGCAGCAGTTGGAGAAATGTTGGAAACCTTAACGTAGCGTACTACCACTACTAATATATTTCGTAAGGAACTATAAGGAACTTTAGTTGTGAAAATATAAGTTGATTAGTCCTTTGTGTTTCATTTTTACGTCGCTATTATTCACAGTCGAAAACAATATAAATGGACAAAAAGTTTCGAAGATGTAATTAGTAATCCTCCAGATGGGGAATGTGTTTTATCAAGATGATATTGGGCGCCCAAAAAAGGCGAATACTCCCTTCTCTCTTCCCTCCTACTTCTAAACGCTAGGAGCTTAAACCCCTCCGCTAAGAGTGCCGGGAGGTGGAAGCTGCAGGACCTTATAGGTCACTTAGACGAGAAGCGACAGGACGGACACCTGTTTCCTTTTATCGCCATCACAGAATCCTGGCTGAAATCATACCACCATGATGCTCAGTTAGAGGTTCCAGGATACTCTCTATCTCGGTGTGATCGCAGTAAAAGGAGTGGTGGGGGAGTAATGCTGTACTCTCTATCTTCTATCCCAGTCTCCCTATCAGAGAGTTTTGATGATAGTGTTTGTCAGGGAATCATCAATCTCTACCCCTCTGCTAAACTCTGTGTTGCAGTGGCGTACAGACCTCCTGATGCAACGGCCGCCAGTTTCTCAAAACTATTGGACAGCTTTACTCATGTTATTGAGAACTGCGCTCCGAGCGACTACGACCTCTTCGTAACAGGGGACTTTAACTTACCACAGGTGGATTGGGAAACGCTCCAAATCCGAAGTGGGGGCACATCAGACTCCAATCTCTCCGCTCAGTGTTTAATACGGTTTATGTCCACTCACCTGCTCAGCCAGATGGTTACAACCCCGACCAGAGGGAGCAATGTGCTGGATCTGATAATGTGCAACAACGATCGGCTGGTGTGCGATGTAAGCTGTGAAGCTACAGAAATGTCCGATCACAACATGGTTAATGCTCTCCTCTCTTTTAACCCTGCATTACTCGAGGAAGCTAAGCTCACGTATCTGGACGAAATGAACTTTCGGGCTCTAGATTTTAACCATACTGATTTCGATTTCGAGGAACTTAACGAAGCTCTCAGTAGTGTGGACTGGAAACAGGTTCGAGGTTCCACTACCTTTGAAGAATTTCCGATCAATTTTACACGTAAAGTGCTAAACGTTTGTCTTGAAAATGTCCCAAGGAAACGACCTCCTAAAGGAAAACCGAATGTCTATAACTCGCTGAGAAGGAAGAAGTCCAGACTCAAGAATCGTCTTTCAGCGGCAGAGTGCAGCGGCGACCATGCTCGAATGAAACAGCTTGAAGACGAAATCGGATTAATCAGCTTTGAGATTAAGGAAGCTATAGTACACCATTTTGATGAGGGCGAAAGGAGAGCGGTGAATAAGATAAAAGCTAATCCGAAATACTTTTATTCCTACGCGAAATCGTTCTCCAAAGTGAAGCAAAACATCACAACTCTTCTTAATAGTGAAAATAAGCTTGTCACAGAGAAGAAGGATCTTGCGAACATCCTCCAGACTCAGTTTTGCTCAGTCTATAGTGACCCTAACTGCCCCTACAAATCCATGCCTGAATTTGCGGTGCCGCCCATTACTTGTCGAGATAAAGAACCTGTCCTCACTCTCGACCACGTAAAGGACGCTATATCGGAACTAAAGCTTGACTCTGCACCGGGACCCGATGGCATCCCCTCCATCCTGCTGAAAAGATGTACCTCTAGCTTAGCGGTCCCTATCTATCTCATCTGGACAGAATCTATGTCGTCTGGCATCGTCCCAAGCTACTACAAGACCGGATATGTCACTCCTCTCTTCAAGAAAGGTAGCAGATGTGAAGCTGTAAACTATAGACCTGTGACGCTGACTTCTCACGTAGTGAAGGTGTATGAAAGGGTCGTCAGAAAGCACATGACCCAGTACCTTGATTCTAATGATCTGTTATCGGACAAACAGCACGGATTCAGGTCAAATAGAAGCTGTCTCACCCAAATGTTGGAGCACTTTGACGACATTTACGAAGGTTTCACGAAAGGAAAGGACACCGATTCAATCTACCTCGACTTTGCGAAAGCTTTTGACAAAGTCGACTTGGATCTACTTCTTCTTAAGCTGAAAAGATATGGATTCCAGGAGAAGCTCTTAAGATGGATTCAATCCTTCTTAACTGGTCGTGACCAAGTTGTTGTCGTGAACGGTGTGCATTCAGACAGCGCTAAGGTGTTAAGCGGGGTGCCTCAGGGCAGTGTTTTAGGTCCACTGTTCTTCCTGTTGTTCATCAACGACCTAGAGGACGTGGTTAAGCATTCTAGAGTGAGCTTCTTTGCAGACGATACTAGGGTTTCCAAGCAAATTAGCTGCCTTGAAGACTGCCAACTTCTTCAGACTGATCTTTACAGCATTATAGATTGGTCCCTATGTAACAACATGAAGTTACACGAGCAGAAGTTCGAACTCCTAAACCACCTACACAATAAGAGGAACTTATCAAGTGAACTTCCCTTCTACGTAGAAAGTCTCCTCTACAAGGTTTCTAGTCACGTCACTCTTTATCCCGTAGAAAACGTTAGAGACCTTGGTGTAAAAGTGTCAAGCGATCTGAGCTGGTCTAAACACGTCGGGGATATGGTCACCAAAGCTAGAAGTAAAATGTCTTGGGTGTTCAGTGTGTTTAAGACACGGGATAAAGTGGTTATGATGACCCTCTACAAGTCTCTAGTCAGAAGCTTATTGGAGTACTGTTGTCCGCTGTGGGACCCAGTCAAGACGACAGAGATTCAGCTTTTGGAGGGGGTCCAGCGTACCTTTACAAGCCGCATTGGTGGTCTATACAGCTTAAACTACTGGGAGAGGCTAGCTCATTTGAAGTTAATGTCCCTGCAACGGAGAAGGGAGAGATACATCATCTTGGTGATGTGGAAAACGTACCATAACGTTGTTCCAAATAGCTGTAGCATCGAGTTTGTGGAAACATCCAGATATGGCACTAAAGCAGTTGTTCCTTCTCTATCAAAGTCGAGTTCGATGAGAAACCAGACACTGTATGATAGCTCGTTCGCAGTAAAAGGATCCAAACTGTGGAATAAGGTGCCGAGTGAAGTGAAAGCCGAGAAAACGTTTGCCAGCTTCAAAGTCAGTTTGTCTAAGTTTCTTGCTTTGATACCGGATAACCCTCCGGTTTCCGGTTATACGTGCAGCTGGTCGAATTCCTTGGTAGACTACACGCCATCACGGTGGTCAGACATCTGATGACCCTTCCTGCTACGACGATAAACCTTACCAAGTTACCAAGTTAGTTACAAATGGAAAACGAAGTGAGTCGTGTAATGGTGAGATTGTCTCAAATAATATTTACGAATATATCACAGGAATTTGTTAATAATCGTACTCGAAAAGGTTTGTTCCCTGAATAAGTCTAGGTTTCATATGTAAGTACATTATACTGTGGCTAAAAATTAAACTTCGTCACGAAAAACCGCTATGAAAGTAAAGATAAAATGTGAAAATGATGCAACAGATTAAAAGATAAAGATCTGGGCCATTTAAAAATTTATTAGTTCACAGTGCATGTAAATTAGAGCAATTGTATTCAAGTACAGTTTGTACATGACTTGGTCTATGAAGCTCTAATCTCTATAATACATTCACAGCTCCAATAAAATATCAGACATAGTCGACTGATCGTCTAAAATATTTCACATTTAAATTAAAACAGTTCCGATCTGAACATTCGAATATGAGGTGTGTTGCCATGGTTATCACTTCACCCTCGTTTTATCTGCTGCATTACTTGGGGAGGCGATGCTAGTCTGTGGGGAGAGGGAGACATTGGGTTGCCATGGTTAGCACTCATACCTCTTACAACCTGAGGATTTATAGTTTAAGCAATGCATTAAAATTATCTGCGATTAAAGTATGCGGATTTGTTATAGATTATAAATTTGTTATAATTATAAATTTGTTATAATTATAAATTTGTTATATTTGTAAATTTGAGAAGACGCTATAAAACCTAGCTCGACATTTAAAGTAAATAACAATCTAGATCAACAAGACTAAAAAACAACATTCCGGAATGTTACCTGGTGCGACATGAGTCTGCTGTGTTCCTCCATTACTTGAGGAGGTAGCCCTCTTGCTCCCATAGCTCTTACTCCCTTAGCCACGTTCCCTCTGATCGGGGCTACATACGGGCCTCCCTGGTTGGATATAATATACAACTTTATATAATACACTATCTCGTTATAAGAGTAGGCTCGAACTGATAAGAGCAACACGGAAGTAAACCTAACATTTCTTTATGGGAAGATCCAGTAAAGCTAATCTATAGTTAATTGTGTTAGGGCACGTGTTTTCTAGCCCAAATAAATTATACGAATTTATTATTAACAGTTTTTATGAGGTAACCCTGCGAATGAATATCAAATTACAGGGTGGCCCATAAGTGACTACCCACACGCAACCTCTTTATAACTCACGTAATTCGTCTCCAAATTGCACCAAAATTTCAGAGATTATAGATATGGGTCAAACTTATATTTCCTGAAAGTTTCGTAAGCCACGCCCAATTACAGTGGGCGTGGCGTGACACTCCCTCTTTTTCACTATTGTCTTCATAAAATGAGAACGCTTTAAGCTAAGAACTCAAACTTTTTTGCACACATTTGGCTTGATAATTGAAAACTTTTCCAAAAGTTTCAAGTTCATTGGTTAAAATATGGCTAAGTTATGACCATTTTAAAATCCATCGGATATGTGATCCGAGCACTCAGTCAGTGATATTTGCACTCAATTAGTGATCTCGTCACCTAATCTGATCAAGAGTAAGGCGTTAGCGTGTATTAATGAGGTTCATTAGGCCTTGATTGGATACCGATGATGACTTTGCTAGAAAGGAAAACACAAATTTTTAGGATAAATCAAAGTATGGATCCACATTCTGCTTCGACAGGAATGTGTTGGCGAAATCTATCATCGATTGGAAATCACGGTCCAAAAGTTTGTGATTCGGTAGGCCCGGTGAGAAAGGTCTTGCTTTAGGATTCGCTGAAGGGTTGTTCTGCTGATGTCTAAGGCAGGAGCTCGTTTCCGGGTGCCAATCTTAGGTGTGTCCATCACGTCACCAACAACCATCGTGATGTTTTCTACAGTCCTCGAAGTTCGTCTTCTGCCGACTCTTTGCCGATCGTGTGCAGAAAACGTAAACTTGATCTTGTGATGAATGTCAAAGCAGCTTTTCCGGCAAGGGGGTGGTCGGTTGAATTTCATCTGAAATTGTCGTTTAATCTGAGGGTAGAACACCCCATTTTCTTTCTTCAGGTAGACGAACAATCGTTGTTCTGCAGTAAAGGGAGGATAGTGAACCATTTTCGATGATTCAATGGATGGTTCATTCCTTTTTATTGATTGTAAGGAACCTGTGACTAGCAGGGCTAACAAGCCCTGAAATGGTGACACCACCATAAATTCGTGTGATAGCGTTTTAGGTGCTGTCAGCTGTATAGGCCGGCCCATGCAACCAATCAAGCGGTGCATGTGAGCCAAACAGGCCATTAACCAAGTGACGAGATCACTGACTGAGTGCTCGGATCACGTATCCGATGAGTTTTGAAATGGTCATAACTTAGCCATATTTTAACCAATGAACTTGAAACTTTGGGAAAAGTTTTCAATTATCAAGCCAAATGTGTGCAAAAAAGTTTGAGTTCTTAGCTTAAAGCGTTCTCATTTTATGAAGACAATAGTGAAAAAGAGGGAGTGTCACGCCACGCCCACTGTAATTGGGCGTGGCTTACGAAACTTTCAGGAAATATAAGTTTGACCCATATCTATAATCTCTGAAATTTTGGTGCAATTTGGAGACGAATTACGTGAGTTATAAAGAGGTTGCGTGTGGGTAGTCACTTATGGGCCACCCTGTACTAACGTTTTGAATGTAAGGTTTGGGGACCATGTTGAGAGGGATCATATTGTTGTGGTTGCCGGGTTGTTGGGGTCTGTACTGAGGTCTCTTCATTTGTTGGACCATCTCCTCGTTATTGTTCACCATGTAACCCTGCGTTGAAAAGGGGTCATTTTACCGTGTTACGGTACAATGGGGTCACAGTTATATGACATAGCGTAATACTAAAAGCACATGTCACATGTGACTTTAAATGGACTTGTTAACCTTCAGTCAGGTTATCATCCATGTAAAATGTTAACTATCGGAAAACGTCCCAGTGGATATTTCAATATAAAACTGCAACGTTATTAGCAAAGACTTACGGGCATGAATCCAATATGCTGAGAAGGTTGCATCTTAACAGGC